GGCTTCGAGTAATTCGCGAATATTTAGTAGGTAAACTCCAAAGCTCGGAACGAATCATCGCAGTCATGTTATAACCTTCGCATGCCTTGTAGAATAATATTCGTACTTGTGCGAAGACTTCGAGTAATTCACGAATATTTAGTAGGTAAACTCTAAAGCTCGAAATGAATCATCGCAGGTGTTTTATGACCTTCGTATACATCTTAAACCGATATTCGTACTTGTGCGAAGATTTTGGGACAACTGCGACTATAGTAACCCTACTCAGATTCCGAGATTCGTTATAAATCATCGTAGGCGTTTTATAGCATTCGCATACATCTCGCGATACTACCTTACTATACGCGAAGCTATAGATAGAATTGTAATATCTAACTATAAGATATCGCATATATAGGAGAAAGTTCGCACGCATATAACGACTTACTCATCGCGCATATGGCAGAGTCTTCGCACGTGTTAAAGGAGTGTAGTCTACTAGACGCGATCGTATAAACACCTAGTGTCATTTTTTGGTAGTGTTCGGTCCTATGTAGCTAGTTATCGCACCTGCACGGGAGCGTTCGGACGCACCCTGCGAAGATAACCTACCTTACGCGATCGTATTAACAGCTAGTATTGTTTTTAGTAGTGTTCGGTCCTATGTAGCTAGTCATCGCACCTATCCGGGAGCGTTCGGACGCACCNTTGTCCTGGTCTTTGGCGGTCGAAGTGATGACGTCCAAATCTTGCTTGCTTGCTGAGTTCTTGACTTGATCACCAAGGTTGGTAATACGAGCGAGTTGTTTCTGAACGTCAAGGATCTTGTCCTCTGTTGAAGTAACCCGACCGTCAAGCGCTGTAATTTGAACACCGATGGTCGAATCTTCCAATTTTCCACTCAATCGGCTAACAGTCTGTCCGAGTGAGGTGACCGAATCTTTTGTGGCTAAGCCCTCACAGACCTTTTCCACCACTTGGACTTGATGAGGTAAAGTCGAATCATCCACCTTCGCCGAGATCTCCTTCTTGAAATGATCGAAATCCTCCTTCTTGGTGAATTTGCTAAATGTCTCCTGGACGTTTTCGATCGTGGGACACTCCAAGAACTTTGCGTCAGTCAAATCGCGGTGTGCTTTTGCGTCTCTCCGTTCTTGCATCATGATCTGCAAGACGTTGCTCTGCCTCTCATGTTCTTGTTCCATGATGCTGAGACGGGACGTTTTAGGATAATGGACGAATCTGGCTCAAGAAAGGGCGGATCTGACGGGAGAAGTTGGCTTTTGTGTTTGGTAAGAGGGACGGAAAAGAGGAACCGACGAGATTGATGAGATGGACAGGAAAGTATGTCACATGCAATGACGTTTTTTCTTTGCAGACATCGAGGAAAGTGCTGCTGATATAGCGAATTGGAAGGAGCACAAGCACGAGCACGGGCTTCGCATGACGAGCATTCCGTGGTAAGGCAATACTACAGAGCATGGTTTATGCGCATCGATAGACTACCTTACGACATTGTTGTCTTTAGCGAGTATATCTTCGGCACTTGACAAGTGTTGTAACGGTTCTGAGGATTATAGTACACCAAACCGTCACGGTCTTTCTTCTTGGCGACCAAATTGGAATAAAATGTGATAATCCATCGCTCCTTCCACGCACACCGATACAGAGCGCACCGTCACTCAAGCTTATCTTTTGTTGATCTCTATAACAAGCATGAGTTTCTTTTCAATGGAGCTTTTGTTCGCTTTTTCTGATTTTGCTTCACCTATCTACAGCATTTGACAATATTCTGAAACACACCTTCCAAGCATGTGTCTATTTTGCGTCTTGTCGTCGTTGCATCGTAAGTAGATTTGTTTAATAGCCTCATAATGGTGGTCGAAATCAAAAGTCACAATTCTTGCGTCAACAGAGCCAATTCTTATTGAGACTACCATCAGGAGGCTACCGGCTACGATTTTTAAGATGTTGAGTGCGATTTGCTGCAAAGTTACCCAAAATGTCGGAATAATGTGTTACACTTTCGGTGTCAGAAAAGCCCACAACGTGGACTCGAAGCAGTAATTAGAAAGCAAGCCGAATTCATTCGGGATCAAGCAGAGATTAATGAACAGCATGGAACAAGACATTAAGAGGATGTGCAGAGTCTATAAAATGAAAGATAGGTGTCTACGCAGCATGCTAATGAAGCGTTCACATAACTGGACGACGAAAGAACCGGGTAGTTATGCATGCAAAGGCTACTTAAACGAAAACAATAGCTACGTTATGCAGAGTATAGGACTATTAGTAAGCAATTAGAAGACATAAGGCCATCGGGTTAATAACACCTATAATGTATAGTTAAGCCCTTAGAGGGTATCGTTATATGCATAGTAGTATTAGCACCCTAGTTTGCTCTATATGTATTACTAACCTAATGACCTCCTTTCTACGACTACTCTTCGCTCTTATTTTATGTCTCCGAAGCATGCTAATGAAGCGTTCTTATAACTAGCATACATGGCCGGCCGCCTAAGGACAGGGTTACCTATAGCCACCTTAGACAGGGTTACCGCCGGCCGGCTAGCGCGCGGTCGGCTAACTATATAGGCGGCTAGTGCTAGGGTCTCCCCCCCCCCCTGTCCGGCCTACCCTAGGGAGGAATGTAGCTACTAGACAGAAACCCTTATAGCCGCTAACCTACTACACTACCGATATATTCTGCAGCTATTAGCACTATAGCACCGTAGCACTACTACCGCCGCCTCTAGAAACGACTAAGTACTTCTGCAGTGACCCTGTCACCGCCGTCGGGCTAGGAGAATTAAACTACCCGGCGGTTAAACCGAGCAGTTAAAACACCCGCCTTCCCCTTTAATAACCGGCACTAGGCTAGTTAAATTAATGGGGGAGGTTAAAGACAAATCTAGGCAACGACGGGCTTACGCTTAGCGGACGACGAAAGAACCGGGCAATTTTGCATGTAAAGGTTACTTAAACGAAAACAACATCTACGTTATGTAGAGCCTAGGACTGTTAGCAAGCAATTAGAAGATATAAGGCCATCGGGTTAATAACACCTATAATGTACAGTTAAGCCCTTAGAGGGTATCGTTATCTGCATAGTGGTATTAGCACCCTAGTTTGCTCTATATGTATTACTAACCTAATGACCTCCTTTCCACGACTACTCTTCGCTCTCATTTTTTCTTTCTAGTCATTCCAGACGTCGAGGTCCTCATGAGATCTGGTGATGAGCTTGACTGATGGAATGTATCTCTGTAAGAGTATGTTCTCCGGTTCAAGGACCTTTTTCGGTAGAGGATCGAGAATATATACACATTTGAGACGAAGCAATAGGAAGACTACGCTTCAAGGTGGATAAAAGCATCTTGACAGAAGTTGCGTGCTGCACTGGTTGCATACACACCGAATGAGCAGACCTCCAGTACAGAAAACTTTCTCAAAGCTTTCGAAGCATACGTCGATCGTCACCGTCGTGAGAGAGATCAATTCGTGACTGGCATGGTCAAAATGTGGGAATCACTGCGCGGCCTGTCAGAAATTGCGAATTGAGAGTCATATCGCACATGAAAAGCCTCGGGAGAATTTTGATTGCTACTTGGTAGATATGATTCTTCTCAAGTTCTCTGAATTGAACAACTTCGAGGCTTCTCCTATGGTAGTACGTCCTGCTACTGTAAGATAAGAAAGAAAGGTCAAGTGCAAAAGATGTAAATGTCTCATAGACAAAGAAAAAGCTTCATGGCGCATATAGGAACATATTGTGCTCGACATGAGAAAAACAAGTAATTATTCAGTAGTGCGAGAAAGGGGATTTAGGTACATCATCTTCTTTGTGTCGTCAACTCGTCATCTGTCGCTCTTTCCTTATTGTTCTTGAGTCGAATTTTGACATGTGATCAATCAACCATCGCTCCTTCCACGCATATTGCTGCAACGCGCATTGCAATTCGAACTTCTCTTCCGTCAACTTCCTCTTCCTTACATCAACCAACTCAACACGACAGATCCGCCAGCGACTCTGGCAGATTTCGACAGGCAATCGTCAGCCTTCACGCCTTCATCATCAGTCTCCGTGCACGCAGACATGGCAGCCAGAATTCCAAAGCTGGAGCCTATGGACGAACCACAACCAAATCCCGCCCATGATCTCGATCAGGTCCCCGCACAAGACTTTGTTCCAGTCGTCATACAAGACTTCGGACACGCCCCTATCCACGACTTCGGACAGGCGCCTGCACAAGATCCAGCCCCCCAGCCTTTCCCTGGACCTGCCCAGATCCCTGCTCATATTGCTGGGTATCATCGAGACATCATCCTCCCTGCACTTGTCGAGATCAGTGGGGCCATACGCAATCATGATCGAAGACTCGACAACTGTGTTACCAAAGCAGACGTCGAGACTCAGAGGGCTTTTGATGTTTTGGAGAGAAGGACTATGAGTCTCCTGAAGGAACTCACAATCGTCAAGAGGGACCTGGTTCAATGCGCTGCAGAATCTTACACAAGGTTCAACGAGTCAGAGAGGGACAATGCTTCGCTGCTGCTTCGTGTCTCAGCCTTGGAGAAGTTGAGCTTGGAAAGAGGTCACGATCCTCGACTTCCACCCAGACTTGGAGACGAAGTACAAACCTCAGACAAGCCAAGTGGACACCCAGAGAACCCGATACAGATCTACGACGACGAGGGAGAGTCAAACTTGGACGATGAAAGAGCCGACAAGACGAAGCCGCCGCACAAGACCTCGCCATCACTCAAGAAAGAGGGACGCATCCCAAAGCAAGAGCCTGTCCGTACCGACATCAACGCCTCCATCCTTGAACATGATCCAGCTTTCGGTGTCATTAACAACACCGCCACTGTAGAAGAACTCAAGACAGTCCAGACCGCCATCGATGAATCCGCCAACTCGCCACAGAAACTTGAGATCCGCATGAACCAGCTCGACCTTGGAACAACAAACAACCACCACGATTTGACTCGCCATGTCGACTACCTCCATGGACAGATCCAGGGGCGCAAGGTTGACCACCGAGCTCACGTTCAGAGTATGGACCACTCGAAGGAAGATTACTCTCAAGCCATTGAGTCCATCATGGATCATCTCGGAAGCAATGATGTTTGCACCAACATTTCCATCGCTTCGAGCAACAACAGAGAAGACATGGGTTCGAAGGACCTGACAGACAAATTTGAAGCCAACGATAGAGACGTGCAAATCTCGGCTGTCAAGGAGGAAGGAGTTATGGAGGATGAAGGGGTGACTGTCCAGCGTCAAGGAGGCAGCGCAGACACCGGTGTGATGTCAGAAACCATGTCATCGGGATCCTGCAAGAGATCAGCTGTGTCAGCTCCTGGTACACCACCTTCAGGAAAACGCCACTCCAATCTCACCATCTGATAGGGCGCACAGGATATGGAGAAGAGAATGTTGCAATGTCGGAGAGAGGCTTCAGAGTGTGAGATAAGGCCGAAAGTCGGTGCACGCAATGTGGACGTGTCTCTAACATTGATGAACCCAATAATTGTTTTGTCCAATCGCTCAATGGTATTCGCTAGTTAGCTTCAACAGAGATCGAAATACAACGGCTACAAATCTATCATACATGAATGGCATCTGCAGCTCGGAGGATCGGTAATCAGTAGTCTTGCTCGAAAAGAAACAAGGTTGAGATCCAGACCGAGAAGAATGCATGCTTTGTTGCTGGATGTGACCGTTACTGGGTGGGATCTGGACTTGACTATTAGCGGTCTATGTGAGAGACCATCTCGAGGCAACCAATTGGAAAACACATTGTAAAAGGCTATGATTCTGTCACGTTTCCATAACAGTCTCAAAGTGCGAGAATTTGGCCTTCTCTCGCTCCTCAATCTCTCCTCCCTTTCCTCGCCAACTTCATCATCACGCAGAGGAGGCATTCGATTCCCAACGTCTCTCGCAACATCTGGTCTTTCCTGGCGTCTGTCTCTATTCTCATCCATAACCTTCCACGTACATCAGAACATTCGGGACGATGATTCGATATAAAACATATCCACTTCACCACTCCTCCGACCCGGAAAAGCAGCACCACTGTTACAGGCGCTTTAGGCCCCCGAGACAGATGTACGCCTACCTCTAGGACCATCCAACTCTTGCTGATCAATCTCTAGCGTCAATCATGTCGTGCGGAATACGGACTTCGGCCACTTTCAAGATCGCTGCCATCAAAGAGCAGATCACGGCCAAGGAAGAACAGATCACGGCCGAGGAAGAACAGATCGCCGAACACCACAAGAATATCGAGGCCATGAAAGTTGGAGTCAAGACTTTGAGGGATGAAGAAAAGGTGGAGGAAGAGATCAGAACTGAAAAGAAGCAGAAATTTCTGGCCTGGCTTGAGGGCGTTCGGCCCCCCCCTAGTATTTGTAGCAGGATGTATTGAAATTGGGGAGGTCAAGGAGTCTTGTTGTCGTCTCAGGATCTTCCTGTACTATCGAAGATGTTGAAAGTGTGATGATCATCTGTACATCGGTTTCGTCAAAGCCCGAGAAGATCGACTACCATCAACCCAATATCTTTAACTACTGCTATCACTGATATGATCCCTTCGCGCTGCTGCTTTCTCATCGGCAACCGACTTGGGAATAGCCGACATCTTGAATGTGGAAGCATCACTCAGTAGATGTGTCATTCCCAAACTTCTGAACAATCGTTGTTAAAAAAGATTGGCAGCAAGATAGAATTACACCTCGTCCGCCACCGGTGATGTCAACCGACTCGATCAAACGACTAAAGTTGAGAAGAGGATACTGCCGCGATTTACATGGCTTAACTAAACATATTCCTATTTCGCGAAGTCTCCTGACGATTCAATGATTCTTCCCAATGGAATTGCGAGAAGGCCAATCAGTGGATTGAGTTGAGAGTGTCTTGCTCAAAGCTTCAAGGATTTCTTCAAACAAAACAGCACCGGAGATATACAGTGAATGACCTTTCTTCCCGTAGATCATCGCATTTATTGTAGAACATCCGCATGCCTTTTGCGATGACGACCTTAGTTGTGCGAATATCCCGTAACACTACCAAAGTAACATCTTTCTACGTCTTCACAATCATCGCAGCTACATCATGGTTCTTGTATACGTCTTGCGAGGTTAACCGTGCTTGCGCGAAGACTTCGCGGGACTTGCGACTATATAGTAGGTAAACTCCAAAGCTCGGAACGAATCATCGCAGTCATGTTATAACCTTCGCATGCCTTGTAGAATGATATTCGTACTTGTGCGAAGGCTTCGAGTAATTCGCGAATATTTAGTAGGTAAACTCCAAAGCTCGGAACGAATCATCGCAGTCATGTTATAACCTTCGCATGCCTTGTAGAATNTGCTGGATCTGTGTTTTGTACATGTCCTGGTTCCTCGACATGGTTTCGAGCATTTTGGGCACATCCTTAACGAGATCGACGCGGACCTTGAGACCTTGGACAACGGACAACACATCTTCGAGCTTCAACGCGGTGTTTTGGACCGTGAGGGAATAACTTTGCAGATCTGCAGGCAACATTTTGAGAGGTTTCATGGCGCTCTCGACAAGGCCAACCCTGACTCTCACGCCTTCCACATCCTCGGAGATGCTGGTTTGATTTCTGGTCAAGATCTGCATTTCCAGTGGAACACTGTCCAGAGTCTTCAGACTGGATTCAACATGGCCCACCTTGGCTCTCATGCCTTCCACATCCTTGGAGAGGCTAGACTGTTTCCCGGTCAAGATCTGCATTGCCAGTGGAACACTGTCCACAAGACTCAGTCTGGATTCGACATTGGTCAGCGTTTTCTTGATTTCCTCAATGCCATTCTTTTGTTGGGTCTGAAGATCTGCTGAGACATTGATGCTTGCAGACAAGCTTTCGAATGAGCTGATTGCCTTGGTCGACACTGAAACTTCTGCTGTCATATCCTTGATTCGCAGAGCCTGTGCAGCGATAGTCTGCTCCAGTGACGCGACACTCTCGTTGATTGTCGAGATCTTGCTGTTGTATTTCTCCAAATCTTCCTTTCTGGCAAGTTCCAATGCATTCATCCTGGTCTCCATGTCTTTGAACTTCTGCATGTCCTTTTGGTCTTTCTCTGCTTGGGTCCGACTGGCTTCATCTTGCGTCTTGGTCAATATCTTGAATAGGCGTACTAGGTTTCTCTGTCGCTTCAAGAGGTTTTCTTCGACATTCCCCAAAGCTTCGCCGGTCACCAAGCCTGTGATCGTCGTCTGCAGCTCACGGAGACTTGTTTGAAGCTCGCCGAACTCGAGGACCGAGACACTTTCGACAGAAACCAAGCTTTCGAATTGGGATTTGAGGCCCCTGAACGCGTTGGTCAGAGCTTCATAGTCTTTGACTGCAACACTTTTCTTCACGAAGAGATTCAAGTCCTTCTGGATGTCGGCAAACTGCTGCTTGGTTGTTGAGTTCTTGACATTCGCTTCGAGTTGCGAGACTTGGCGCTCTACGGAGGCAAGTTGATTGCTCACTGCTGGATCCTTGAGTCGTCCCTGAACGGCCAAGATATTTTCCTCTGCTGAAGAAAGGCGGTTGTTGACAGAAGGATCCTTCAGTTGTTCCTGAAGGTTGGTGATGCG